TGATGAGTAGGCTCGGCGTGTGTCGACCCATTCCCCTATGTCTACGCCTGTCGTGTCGACTACGCGTACGCCCTCGTCTCGCTCATAGCGCTCTCGTGCCCAGAGTGTGCCTTCCCATCTGCAGAAGCCTTGGATTTCGGCTTCGGTTAGCCCGAGCCGGTCGAATGCGTCAAAGAGTCGCTTGTGGTGTGGGAAGCGGCCGAGGCGTTTTCGGTGTGGTTGAAAGGCGTAGTTTAGGCCTGGGTACCGCGCTTCGATTGTGTCGAGCGAGCCGTAGAAGTTTGCTGTTTCGATGCGCACTTCGCCGACGAGGTTTTTGGAGAGGTGCGCGCTGAAGGAGGGAGGGTCGGTGGGCGAGGGTGTGGGGAAGAGCGTGTTGTAGACGAGCACGCTGATGGGGTTTTTGCGGTGCATGGCTGCGGGTGTGTTGAGGCGAAGTTTGTTGGTAGGAAGTGTGCCGCCGTGCGAGAGGGAAGCGTGGATAGATGAGGTGTCGCCGTCGCTCGCAGATTGCGCGTTTGGGTGCTCGAGTGTGAAAGGACAAGGCGGAAAGTGGGTTGTCGCAGAATGTGACCGCCTCACCCGCACCTTCTCTAACTTCCTCCTTACTAAGGGGCCGGCCAGGTGTGTGTGCTGACCTCGGGCGTGACCGCTGTTTCCAAGGTTCCCACGTTCTGACGCCGCCTAGCTCTCCCACTAGCTATCAGACGCTCGTCGGAATGGTGCACACCGGGTACCTGACAGCTGACTCTGCTGTCTTGCGCGTGGAGGTTCCGAAAGTCCCGTGGATGGTAATTTGCAAAATCCCTGAATGCACAGAGGGAATCGCTCGAATCCTATGTCTTTTGCGCTATCCTGCAGATCTTGCGGGCCAGAGGGGACACCCCGGCTTTTGCTGCGAGATTGGTCGGGAAGGGTCGACGGCGTTTTGCGACGAGAATGCGGCACGGCGACGACGTGGGAAAACGGTGCAGCTAGCCGTCACCACACAACACAAGCTAGAGAAGTCTGAATGTCGAGGCCGGCGAGGAGCAGGGGAAGAGCGAGCAAGATGGGATCAAAGGGGAGCAGGCGGGTATAAGACATGCACTCTACTCGCGTCAACGCTCTCTGCCCTCACCGCCAGCACATGCACGATTATGGCTCGCTATTATTCTGGATCCTCACAGTTGGCCACAGATGTCGCAACAGGGACCAGACCCTGAAGGCCGCTATGCGAAGGCTCACACCGACGATCCCCAGTTTTTGCTCTTTCACCAGACTAACCTCGGCCACCCTATTGAACATTCTGCTCGCCACCTAGCACGCCTGCTAAGCAGAAGCGTCGCTGCACCTGTCAAGCCTCGCCGACAGTACACACGAGAATCGCCGGCCTCTTCGCTGTCAAAGCATGCCTGGTGTAATCCCACCTGCGACGGCGGGTGAGTTGTAACCCAGCGCATGAGAGACCAATAGGTCCGCCCGCCCGCCGATTATCCGGGCCCGAGTATTCGACATGGATGCCGCGGGACGAAGCATGCACGAGGAACGACTGGTCCAGCTCTCTGTTCCACTGCCATGCCTACTGCAGGGTTACTCCAACTTGGCCCTTGCTATGCAGGCCAAGCCTGTGCGACTTGCTAGCATTTCCGTCGTCGCGCTCTTGCCGGCGACGACTTTCTTCCAGTGCGCCACAGAAGCGCATTTGCTACGCAGGGGTGGTGAAGATGTGGTATTTACTTTTTGTTGTTTGAGGGTGTACCATGGAGGGATTGTGGGCGAGGTGATATGCCGAGAATCGGACCCCTGCCGTTCCGCCTCGATCGTATCTGCAGCCGATTGGGCAGTCATTAGGATCACGTGGTTGCTGCTGACACATCGAGTCCGCGTACGCCGTGGCTGCCTCATTCCATCAATCCTTCGATCCACCACACCCAACGTTTCTAAGTTGTCATCTGAACCCGTGACGAGCAGCTGCCTGCAGCCCTACGGGTCCCAACCACGCCTCATCCGCACCCGTGACAGACTGCTGCCTGCGATCCCTTCGCCTATATAATCCGCCAAACTCTCAGCCTCTTCCTTCCATCCTCATCCTAGTGCAGGGGTGATTTGCTTACCAGTGAAGATACGTCTGAGGTAGCAATTTTGCTGGTTTAAAACTACATATATTGACTGCTCTGGTAGGCCTTCTGGGCCTTCCAGGAATTTTTGGAACCCTCTTCGTTGGTCTCGGTAAGCTAGTCGCTGCTGGATTGAAGAAGGGGCCAGTGTTGTGCATCCTGCCCGGCTTATCTCAACGCATTCTTGTACAACCCGAAGGTACTCGTACTGCATCGGGAGTCTTGCAAGAGATTGGGGCGGAATATGCGAGTGCGACACCATGGGAGTGGTTTTTGGCCTCCACACCATGTTCTGGGGGCTCGAATCTGACGACGGCACTGGTGTAGCTGGCACAAGGCTGACATCGCCGCAATGATGTCGTGTTGCATCGTGTGACGATGACCGAGTATAAGGCACGATTGGCTTTCCAGTACGATCTCATACTTCGAGCCATTAGTCTTTGTCAACTTTCCTCATCTCACTCTGTTCAACTTACGCAACAGACATGTCTACTTCTCAAGGTCTTGCGGCATCCGACCACTTGGACACAGACAGACGGCTTTCCTTCGATAGCTTTGCAATGGCTGACTTGGCGTCTCCTCAAAGCCAACCTCCCCCACACCACTCAGTCTCCCCAGTCTCATCAAGGACAGGATCGCCGTCTACAATCAACAGCTCGAACTCCATGTCAACTATTCCACCCCAACAGGGGTCCGCATCTCCTCCCTTGAAGCCACTGCCAAAGCGACGTTCACATTCCATGGGCTGGTGGTGGGAAGTGGCGGCCTTGCTACTGAGCACTGTGTGCATGGCACTCATCCTAGCTATCCTTTTCACCATGTACGGCAAGCCCATGAGGGACTGGAGACTCCCCATTCAACCGAATTCTCTGATAGCGGTATTCTCCACTATTGCCAAATCGGCATTGTTAGTCCCTCTTGCCGAGTGCATCGGACAGCTGAAATGGATCTACTTCCAGACACCACAATCGAAGCCTATCAATCGCCTCTATGATTTCGATGTCGCTACTCGTGGACCTTGGGGAGCTTTTACCTTTCTTTACAAGCTGCGATTGAGGAAGTCCGCTGCGCTTGCGTCTTTTGGAGCAGCCTTGACAATTCTGTCGCTTGGCTTTGAGCCTTTCACACAGCAGGTTCTGAGAGTCTACTCCAAACCCGCGCTGCTAGTCAACACTACCGGGACTGTAAGCTCAAGCAATTCCTTCTCAGACGTGTCGAGCACAGAGAATGCTGATCTCATTGGTATGTCTTTGCGTGGATCACAAGTCGTGCGTCACTAATCATATGATAGGTATAGAGCACCCTCTGACCGTCGGGTTCACAGATCACGTCGCTTTGCAAGACATCAACTTGCTGAGCAATGTATACTGTCCGACAACAGAATGCAAACTTGATGAGTTCACCTCGCTAGGTCTTTGCGAATCCTGCAGCTCAGAAGACGTTGTTTTCGATGGTGATTTCTGGAATGGCGGTAACTTCGCAGACGAAGACTTTCAGGGCTGCGGCAATTCCGTGGAATCTAGCTATAATGCCTCCAGTCAGCACTTTTACTTCAACTATACTGCGATGACAGATTACGTTGCAGCCATGCAGCCTTATAGATGGGAGAGGATGTGCACTATCAAGAAGCCAGGGTATCCGGAATTGGTGCTCTGGATTACCGCGAGCCGCTACCTCAACGAGAGCTACCCCAGTGTTGGCGTTGTTGACACGGACCTTGCCGCATTTGGCGGCTATCAATTCGGTATCGTTCGCTTGGAACGCAGCAAGATCGATAGAACATACAGCCTCTTCTCTGCAATGAGTGGCAGCCCAGTGTGGTCTCTATCGATTGCGTATCCCCCACAGATTGAGTACTGCATAGGAGACTTTGAAGGTTACCAGGATGTAATCACTGAGCCTTTTGAGTTACCGCTGCAGACAATTTCCGCATTCACTTGCTTCAAATCGTCGTCTAACATCACTCGTGTCGGCGAAATCGATCGGCTCGGGTTGGTAAACGGGACGGTATCGCACTGCCAAATGAACTATTGTGCGAAGCGATATCACAACATCACAGTACGAAACACTGTCGTAAACTACGACTCGGTGGAGGAATGGCCACTGATCCCGACTGGTGACGACCCTTATATGGTGACAAGTGGATACGATCAAGCATTCCGTGCAGAAGGTCTGAACGAGACTTTCTACCTCGGCAACTCCTCACGCCTCTGGCTCGCTGCTTCCACTTCGCGCATCCTCAAATCCACGACGTTGAGCACGTACCTCTTGGAGTACTTCCTCGATCACACTTGGTCCTACTTCTTTCGCGGCTTCGCAGAAGTAGGAAGCAAAGTCATACAAGGCCCCGGCAACTCCGCGGCTATCAACAACACCAGCGAAGCTTACGGCCCGGACATCTTTGTTGATGTGAGATGGGCTTGGCTTGCGTATCCGCTGGCGCTCCTCGTTTACTCTGCACTGTTTCTCTCTCTGACGGCGCTGGGTAGCAGAAGACGTTCCTACCTTTTCAAGAACTCGATACTGGCTGTCCTCGTTCACGGTTTGGAAGGCTGGGACGCGGCGGATTGTCCAGAGCTGCTTACCGTAGCGAAGGAGAGGATTAGTGACCTGAAACGAGCTCTGGGACCGGCGAAAGTGTCTCTCGCTGAGAATGACGATGGCTTGCTGAAGCTCAAGCGTGACTGATCCTCTCACTATGGAACACTGGAACGGCAGGCGCGTCTTGAGGGCGTCCTCACCTTCACTTTGGCTCTCACCTCCCGCTAGCTCCGCGCTCGGACCGCTGTTTGCCTAAAACTGCAGTACCACCCCGCGTCAACTTCCTTCTGCAATCTTTCTCCGTCAATTAACCTACAGAAGCATCTTGACCTGCTGCGATCACTCGACCGGCAGCACAAGATGGCTACCCATACAGTCATCGAGATCCCCAAAACAACGTCTGGTCCTGCCGATCCCCGCGCACCCAGCATCCTCACAACCCTACCGCCTGAGATTCGCAACCGCATCTACGAGTACCTGTTCAAAAGAGACGGACCTATCGTTGTAGACGACGGTCAGGCGCACGTGGAACTTTTGGTCAGGGGTCATGGCATTCACTATACGCACAGTGGCGTCGAGCAGCAAGTACGGGACGAAGATTTGTGTGATGTCTTCGCAGATTGCACCGATCTTCTACTATCATGCCGGCAAGTCTACCATGAAGCCGTCGGTGTCCTCTACGGCGAGAACACTTTCTTCTTCTCTCAGTTCCTCGAACGTCAGATGCACTTTACCTGCACATGGCTGTCAAGAATCGGATCACACTATCAGCTCTTGTCTCGCGTAAGCATAGAAGCAAAATCGTATTCTCCAAGAGACACTCGGCAATACGAACTGTTCCCGCTGTTGAAGCTTGTTTGGAGCCATCCTCAGGCCAAATGCAAATTTACCTTCGTGCGTTCCGGAAGTTCGTTATTCCAAGAACAAAGTAACAGCGCCGGACTCCACAATCCAGTTACTGCCGCGTGTCTTATGAACCGTGTTCTCCTCGAATTAGGCACCGCAGACGTTCTCAACCTCAGGCAGTATGCCAAATACTCTGGCCTGATCTCATCAATAATGATCTGCTACCATCAACAAAACCATTGGGGATACGTCGAATACAATTATCCTATTGCGCGTTCCTTCCCGGATCCGGAGAGACGGTTCGACATCTTAGACCATGGTTCCAAGGTTCAGTGGAAAGAATCTGAACAGTTAAACCTTCTGTCCTTACCTGACGAGTTCCTGTCGGCCATCAACGCGTACGCACGCACATCCGATACGGATGTCACATTCGACCTGGACACCAAAAAAGCCCGGGGTTACCACGTCGGCCTCAGCGGAGTCAATACAAGGCTACGGGACGACATCGACCTTATGAATACGCGAGTGTACGGCGAGATCATGATTCGTATGTCTACCCAGGAAGACACGACCGACTTCAACGGCTTTAAGGCCTTACAAGAGATGTTGGACATTGACAACTTTTCGAATCTGATCGTTCCGTACTTCCGCAGGGAGGGGCAGTGTCCTATCAACATGGTTCTGATGTTCAAGCTCTCTACACCAAAGCCTGCCGCGGATCTTCGTATCAACATCACTAAACTTTTACATACATTCACACGCGCCTATGGGGACCTTACCATCACTATTCAAGGATCCGATAGCGGTATGAGCGGCACACGGTCTATCACGAGGCATCACATTCAGAGTGCAGTATTGCTCTTGCTATCAGATGTATTGGAGCAGTATCCTTCGGAAGCCAACCGGCCTCTTCCAAACATATGGATGAATGGTCACGGTACCGTCCTACGCGCCACATACCGCACCAAGACCACCTCCGAAGAGACCATCACTCCCTGTTCGTATGCCATCGACGATCCGATCGACCTCCTCACCCAGGGCCACCGCAGGGTCAATTGTCTTGATCAAGGTGGTATATTGAAGCATCTCAGGGTTGCTAGCCAACAATCTGGACCGAGTTCCGGTAGCCTGTTCGGTATGTGGTTCAACTTACGGTACTCTCTTGGGATGTGCGACGACGTGTGATCACGTAATATCTAGGAGTGATTAAGGCGGCCGAGAGTGTCGCGTGAAGAGAAGCAGGTGCTCAGACCTGGGAAGTACCTGAAGACAGCCGGCGCAAGTAGCAGGAGCGTACGCATATGCGTGCTAGCGCTTGGAGGCACCTGATAAAGGTGATTTACCGCGGTTCTCTAGCTGAAGCTCACGACCAATATGTGGGATTGACGTCTCCGAAATGGGATCTGCAAGGAATGGGAGGCTTTTCGGATCACCGGCAAAACATATCGTTCGTGCATGAAGTGATGAGGAGTCGCACATGGCTGAACTGAGATTAGAGCAACGGCTCTCTTGAGAAGTAAATATTGATCTTCATTCCAATCAACTATAGAAATTCTGCACTTCATCTAACAGTTCCTTGAGCATCCAAACGGAAACGGAAGAACAGCGGGACTCTTATACCCACCCTTCCCCACACTCCTCACCCCAAAGATAACATTATCCTTATGAATTGTCGCTGAAGTAAGGTTGTACCAATTGACATTCCCCACCTCAATCACATTCGTCCAATGCGGTTCAATCGTGTCACGATACAGAATCTCGTACCCCTCAACCGGAAGTCCCTTCGGCGCATCCCACTTGAACTGGCTGAAATTGTCCGACGTCGTAGTGTTGATGCCGACATTCATTGGCTCACCCGGTGCGTTGGCTAGACTCCACATAGTGGATGCAACGACCTTGGCGGCGCGCGTGTTATACTCAAAGTCTAGCCATTCGACCAGGTCACCGTATTGCTTTCCGTTTCGTACGGTGACGTTTTGGTGCTGTTGCGTGTAGTCTTCGTTGGGCTGGACGAAGCGAACACCTGTGTAGCCTGCTTCGAGGAAAGGGCGGTGGTCGCCGCCTCTGCTGTATCTGTCGAGACGGTAGATGAGGCGCACTGTCATCTCCGTGAAAGCATTCGATGCGACTTCGTAGATGAAGCGACCGAGATTGCGAGCAGGACTGTCATTGTCGCCGCCGATACTAAGACGCGAAGTCATCTTTGTAGAGTTCTCTGTCAGAGGCGTGCCCTGGCAGAAGAGGCGGATGTTGTAGGGATCGATGGTGCCGTCGGAGGCTTTGGAGTTGCCGACCATGTCGAGGTTTATCATGCCTGCTACATTTACGGATGCATTCTTGTAGGTTTGGGCGAGGTTCTCGGCGCCGAGGAGACCTTGTTCCTCGCCGGCGAAGGCTGTGAAGACGATCGTTGTCTTGGGCTTGTATTGTGCGAAGATACGGGCGAGTTCGAGTGAGACCGCGACGCCTGAAGCGTCGTCTACGGCGCCGGGTGCGTCGCCTTGGTAGTCGATGGGGTCGCTGTTGCGCGAGTCATAGTGCCCGCCTGTTACGTAGACGCGATCGGGGTCCTCGCTGCCTTTTAGTGTTGCGACGACGGTTGTGATGTTTACTGGGAAGATGATGCGCTCATTGTCTCCGGGGTGTTTGATGAAGCTGTTCCAGTCTACGGTCATCCTTCCCTCGCTCTCATCGGCTGCCTCTTGGAACTTAGCCGTGAGCCATGTTCTCGCAGCGCCGATGCCTCGGTTCGGGTCAGTTTGACTTGACAGGGTGTGACGCGTGCCGAATGATGCCAGCTTCCGGATCGTAGCCTCGATGTTGTCGCGCGATATTTGCGAAATGATGTCCTGAAGGTCTTCATCCGGCATCTGTTGCTCTAACGCCTTTCCAACGACGGGCAATGGCCATTGTTGCGCACTCGGAAATGATTGGTGAGGATGATGTGCGTGGATAGGTGACGAGAAAGCCGTCTGCAGCAGTGTTGCCGCGCAGACTGCGAGGATGGATGTGGACCGCATCTTGATCAATCTAGACAATTAGCTTGGACGATACAAGACATCTTACCCAAACCTTCTATTCCTATAATTTATATACTCCACCATTTTCGCCATCCCACTCTTCGCGACAGGCTGTCGACTGCCGGTATCTCCAACATCTCGCGATACCGCAGTGACTGCCGTCATCGGAGAAATGCAACTCTTGCTATCATGGCTTTCGCGAGCGCCGATCTGTATCGTAAGTGGAAGCTCGTAATGCTACCAAGACGCCAGAAGGAGAATTAGGGAAGATTTCAACAGCTTTGCTGCATGCTCCGCTTGGCAACGGGTACCGTGTGCGGGGTTCTCCATTGAGCTTCCGACCATTTGCGACGATATGCGATAACATCGGTCGTCTTCCGGAGGAAAGACCATTAGTAAAGCGACTGCGGCCTCGCGACGCTGTCCATTCTTCTGGCTGTCTGGTCGCGAGGGCAGTGCTGGTGTTAGTTACCTTCGAGGTGGCTGGGAGCCAGGGGTCTCGATCACGCAGTTTGTGTCGCGCTTTGCGAACCACATCTGCATCGATTGTGCAGTATTCTCAAAACCGCTACAAATGTCGTGATTGAAGTCTGGTGAGCACATCGGCTTGGTCAGTCGAAATCGAAGGGAGAACATCTGGACAAGATAGCAAAGATGGCGCTAACCCCAAAGCTTGGCGTGACATCATCGCATTGACTGGGAAGCCACCAAATTACAACAATGCGACTCGATGACAGTGACATTCCATGAGCACAAGTATCTGTCAGCAGAGGTTATGATTATACACTCACGATATGCAGCAGCGGCTGCTTCCCGGCGCTGCATCGAAGATTTCTCACTGATCGACGCCTCGTAGCGCCGCAACAAGCTTGACAAGCCTCGGCTGCACGAATCGTATCGTCGATGGTTCTCACGTTGCGCAGCATCGGCTGTGGAAATGTTCTCTATTCGTCCTGGAACCCCATGTCTTCCCCACGTGTTTCGAGATATCCGGTGGTACCTGGGGTTCATGAACGTGCTAACTCCAAAGAAGAAGGTAACAAGACTGGCAGCAACACCAAACACGGAGTGAAAAGCCAAACTAGGAGTACACAATAAAGGCCCGATGCATCACAATGCATGTCATTTAAAGCGTCGGACAGGAACTAGGCAATCACTGGTCAACGTGAACGGATCAGGTGTAGTCATTGGGTGTCGACGGCGGTAAACAAGAACAGTCCAGCTTAACGAAGCGGAGGAGGAAATTGAACTGGTAGAAATAGGCATGTAGGTAAGGTCTGATGACATGGCTTGCCAATGTGCTTGCAAGAGACGATGCAGTAGCGCAGGAGATAGTACTGAAGTGGTTATGGCCACACTCGCTGTGCTTTAGTAGGACGATGGCTCAGAATACAAAAGGTCAAACCGTCCACCTACTCTTAGTGGATCATCGCTACCAGCCTCTTCAGACTTCCTTCGTTACAAATCGGCCACTTTTGACAATCGCTCAACATGAAGACTTGCGCTCGCTACCTTCTTGCCCTTGCGGCTATTCTCACGACTGCCCTCGCTGCGCCAACGCCTGCGAGTGGAGTGAGCTTCCCCATCACTGACCTCCTCGACAAAGACCTCACTGTCGAGGAGTACGCCGCACAGCTTGAGAACCAGGACGTTGAAACACGTGACCTTACCAAGCGCCAGTTCAGCGGCGACACTTACAACCAACTGACTGACGGTACCGCCTGCCGCCGCGTAACTGTCATCTACGCTCGTGGTACTACCCAAGGTAAGATCTCTCTACTGATAGTAGGCGAATTGTATACTAATACCCTTTCTAGCCGGTAATGTAGGCGAGGCCAACTCCGAAGGCCCGACCTTCTTCAATGCTCTGGCTGCGCGAGTCGGAGGAGTTAGCAACTTGGCCATCCAAGGCGTTACCTACCCGGCTAACGTCATTGGCTTCTTGGCTGGAGGCGACGCCGCGGGTGCCACCACTATGTTCAACTTGATCAACCAAGTAAGTGTCATCATGACTATTGATGCATCGGTACGATGCTGACTGTCCACCTAGGCCATTACCCGATGCCCCTCGACCAAGATCGTCGTCTCCGGATACTCCCAGGGCGCACAACTCGTGCACACTGCTACACAGAGGCTATCAGCCTCCGCCGCCTCGCGTGTCACCGCCGTTGTAACATTCGGCGATGCTGACCGTGACGAGTCTTTCGGCTCTGTTGCTGCCAGCAAGGTTCTCATCATCTGCCATGCTGGTGACAACATCTGCGACAACGGTATTATCATCACTCCTGAGCACAGGAACTACGAGATCGATGCTCCTACTGCTGCCGCTTTCGTCGCCGCTCGCGTTTGAGTTCGAATTTGAGGGTGGCTGGAAGTACGATCGTATATGATTAGTTTAATGGTTACGAAAAATTTACGCTGGGCTACTGTTTGCACGATCGTTTCTTGGTTTTGACTTCCTTGTCTTTTCGGTGCACGGGAAATACTTTCGAATGTTTCCAAAGCAAAGATGAAGATTGACGCGACAACGTGAAATAGGAAGGGAAGTCTAGTGGCCGGGAACATAATGACGGTCTATGTGCAAAGGAATCATCTATCCTCCGGCGTGGAGCAGTAATAGAGCGGTGAAGAGACACTCGGGCTGCCAGGGCTGAAGAGAAATGAGTATCAGCAACGGTGTGCGTAATTGACGGGCAGTTGTAGACTTTAGAAGGCAAGGTGCCCGACATGTTGTCGTGGTCTTTGTTCTCCCCGTTTCGCCGTCCGCGGGTGTCAAGTGCTCTGCCGCCTTCAGGCAACCCCAACATAACGTGCTTTCCGCATCTCATGTCGAAATGGCGCATCCATTGCAACCTTTCGCGTAAGATGTCCATCAAACCGACGGAAACCGCACCATACTTGGCAAGCCACAGGAAAACTCGAGTGAAGTCATAACCAAAAGGGTCCGACCCGTAGACGCTTGGGTCGCAAGCCGCCACGCGCGAGTCATTTAGCGCAGATGTCGTGCTCGCCCCATAGAAAACACCAAACGTCTCGATTGCGGTGATTGCCTCAACGTCCATCACTAAGGAGAGAAAAATTGGATACCAAGCTCGCCAAGCATCGCGGTGTCGTCCGAACTCTTAAGATATGTAGTCTCCACGTTAGACTGAGGTTCTTCACCTCATCCCGACATCTCTTCTCTCCATCTTTTCTTCTCCGCATCGTCATGTCGTCCGCCTCCTTGTCTGAGCCCTCGGGCTCCATCAAGGGTTCTGGACCCTTCTTCCGCTCGGTGCCCTTCCAGATCCTGGTAGCATGTGGTGTCTCTTTCACGGCTCCGGGAATGTGGGATGCGCTTGGTGGACTAGGGGCTGGAGGTGCCGCTGAACCGTACGCCGTCTCTGCCGCCAACGCCCTGGTATACGGACTCTTCGCTGTGGTCTGTGTCGCTGCCGGAGCTATCAACAACCGAATCGGATTGACGTATGGTCTTGCATTGGGTGCCATTGGGTACCCTTTGTATGGTGCTGGTCTCTACACCAACAACATCTCTGCGAACACATGGTTCATGCTCTTCGGTAGCGCGCTTTGTGGTATCTCCGCTGGTTTCTTCTGGGCTGCCGAGGCTGCTATCATCATTGGATACCCATCACCTGGAGACCGCGCTTTCTACCTTGCCATTTGGCAGACCGCGAAGGCACTTGGACCGATTGTTGGAGGATCCATCAACCTGGGACTAAACGCGAACCGCAAGACCACTGGATCGGTCTCATCAACGACCTACATCGTGTTTATCGTCATTATGTGCCTTGGCCTTCCGGTAGCCCTGTGCTTGTCGCCAGCGCACAAGGTCTGGCGAAAGGATGGCACGAGGATCGTCACTGAGCGCGCCGCAACCTGGGGTGCCGAATTCAAGGCCGTCGGAAAGCTGTTCGTCAGCCGCCGTATCTTGCTCCTGCTGCCAGCTTTCTTCATCAGCTACTTCTACAACGGCTTCATGAGCACCTGGTTGACGACATACTTCACGGTCCGAGCCCGCGCTTTCTCCTCCTTCTTCACCAACTTTGCCGGTATCTTTTCCTCGTTCATCATCGCCTTCCTACTCGACAACCAGAAGATCCACATCAAGAAGCGCGGTCGCATTGCATTCTGCACCATCATCACCATCCTTGTCGGCACTTGGATCTGGGCAACAATCCTTCAGAAGCAAAACTACGATGCGTCGGAATCCCCGGTGTTCGATTGGTTCCAAGGCGGCTTCGGAAAGAGCTACGCGCTTGTTTTCTTCTGGCAATTCGGCGGTCAGGCCTTCCAGCAATTCCTTTACTGGCTAGTGGGCCAGTATGCGACTGATCTTTCCAACTTGAGCCATCTCACTGGTATTCTGCGTGGTGTAGAGGCACTCGGTCAAACTGTTGCTTGGGCGTAAGTATTGCCATTCTTAGAAAGCATTCGCAGATCACCAACTAACAACCGCGACAGTATGCAATCGGAAGGTGGTGCCAACCACTTCGTCAGTATCGGTATCAACTTTGGCATCACGGTGCTGTGTGTCTTCCCAACCTGGATCGTACTATCAGAGCTAGAGGGAAGCCACGAGGTTCGCGTCACGGAGGATATAGTCCCAAACAAGTCTCACGATGACACAGCTTGAGATGTGCCAATGCACCGAGCTTGAAATACATTATTTGAATTCTTCAACTCCGTCCTACCGTTGATTCATACCTTACATTCCGCTTTCACTATCGCTTCTTACGATTGCCGCGTTGGTGCTGCAGCGTAATTGTCATTTTCCCTCGGTAGAGCCATAAAATCACACAAGCCACTCTAGACGTCACCCTGTAAGCGATCTCCATTCGCAAAACGCCATCGCGTCTTTCAACCTGGTTGAACAAATTAGTATAACACAAAAGCTGTTCATGAGTGCAACTTACGATCTTTCAGATCGACTTCGACAACTTCAAAGCGGCCGTTCATCCATATTGGTGGATGATGATTATCCTGAGAGAACCCTTCCGACACATCCCACTGGCCCGGACCTACATCCGATAGTGCGGAGAGAGCTAGGTCCCGGCATATATACAGGTTCGTGGTGGTCTCGGAGCTGGGGAAGGCTTCCCCTCTATTGATGGAAATCGTGACCTTCGTGCGACCTCTGCACATTGCCGTAACTTGTAATAGCTTGGTGATGTTCAACTTGATATCTTCCAGAGTAACTTCAGGGTGTACATGGAATTCCAGAAGAAGGCTTACTGGGTAAGGATCAGAGGGTTTACCCAAAGGAGAATTGAAGTAGCTATCCTCGCTCCAGGACTCCTGGAGGGTTCTGAACTCGTCAAAATCCGAGCGAAGTTTACTAGTGGACATTTTGATGATGTTCCGCCTGTAGAATCTGAGCATGGTCATAAAGTCATACCGCAACTTGTTGCATATTGCGCCACAGATTAGACTGACTCCGGTCGATATCTTCCTATCGACATCCCAAACAATCGTCGAATCGCTCCCATAGGAGTCAGAACGGCCAACAGAGCTAGCCTCACTTACGATCTGTCGCTGAATGTGTTCTGGTAGACCAAAAAGATGATGCGGCTCTCGCTCAAGATTTGCCCAAGCAAACGTTGCACCCTTATCGGATATGTTGAACCGTAGTTGAGCACGATCGTACATTTCAACGCGTCTGGACGTCTGAAACACGATAATGCCTGAAGAACAATCTCGGTGAATATAGACCTCGCTGATTTGCTGCCCGTATCTTCCGATATTTATAGCATCTTTCCGCAACGTTTGGAGAGCGGTATTGAGACCGTCGATGTCGACTCCGAGTCCAGTTCCAGAAGCTCCGATGGAAGGGTGGAAGTCGTAGTATGCTTGACGCTTCGGATGCACAAACTCGACTGTAAGATGCGGCAGTAGCGCCATTGCTCTCACGAGGGTCCACATCTCGACTGCATGGCCGGGTCCAAGGTGTGGTGCAAACCAAAACGGGTCAACACCATGAGTCTCGCACGGAATAGGGCATGCCCTGTCCACGTCGAGGAGGATATTTTTAACCATCATTCGACGGGAGCCAAGATCTATGAGCAGCACCACCGCGCCTGTGGCTTCTGTCATTGTTCCGTTCAGAACGCTGCCGTCTTGAACGTCCATCTGATATAAATCTCTAGACACGATCCAAACGTTGTTGGAGTAGAGAGTCGTAGCGGCTTCTTGGTAAATCTGTCGACATGTGGACAAGAGAGGGAGGCCCGCCACCAGAGCCGCGCGTACGTCTTGGTCTTCAAACGTGGATCGCGTGATAAACTTCTCCGAGGGGGATAGCCGGATACCGTCATAGACGTGGAATAGGGCGTCGTAGATGGCATTACGAATTTCAGCGGGAAATGTAGTGAGGAATGAGGGCGCCGTCGGGTCGCGAGGCTTAGATCCGCCTTCAGCAATAGCTGGGTAATAGGGCAACTCATCGAAGTATACGCGGAGGTTATCAAATCTACTCTCATCGGGCTCCATGGCTGCAGAGGGGCCGGTTGGTTCTGAGAACTGTAGTAACTAATTGAGTGGTCGAAGAGGCTCAGATCTTATGGATTAGTTCGCGGGAAAAGAGAGAGTGACGGCGATGCTAACACTCTATATATACAGGAGTGTTCAGCGTATTACGCGAATTCAGTGTGTTTGATACTTCAATACGCAGTCGCTCCAGGCCAAGAGACAGTGTTTGCAAAGACCCTCTCATGTATGTTCATTGAAGAGAGCTTCCGTGAATCACCGATTTCGATCATACATGGATACTGTGATTGAATGTGCGAATCGCCATTATTTAGCTCTTTACCAAGCAAAGCTAATATAGTGGGTCATGCATGACCTACTAGATCGAACCGACAACGATACCGGAAAAATCGAGATAGAAGTCCCATGATAGAAGCCACATTTCATCAGCGCTCTTTCGCTATCGCGCTTGCGTTTGTTAACCAGAGCAAAGTATCACTCGCCAATAGAAGCTTCCCATTGAAAGTTCATCCACTGCAAACAAAATCTAGTCACATCAGTCAGCCTCTCTCTTTACAACCAGAACGAACAAAGAACTTACATCTCCCCGCCCAATACCCCGCATCCTCATCCCCCCCCACCACCACACTTTGCAAATACCCCAAATAACACCCTAACGTACCATCGAAAGACCGGCCTGGGCGTGTCGCAGAATATCCATCTCCTGTATTCCCATCGTATTTCTTGCGGAACTCCCGGTTAACGACAATGACATCTTCACCACCATCTCCACGCGACACGTTCCGCTGTATGGTCTCCGATGGATTTATTGATTTGCCGCCTGGCCCTTCAACGCACAAGATGCGGCCGTAGCCGTTTACCCATATGTTGGGGCAGCGCTTAGTGTCTGGACGGGTGCGTTTGTACGTTTGTTGGAAGTCTGTCAGGGCGATGAGAGCGCATGTGCGGAGGTGGGCCAAGGAGACAGACGCCTTATCGTTTTTATCGCCGATCTGAAACGTGATTTTCCTGTCGCGGCTATCGAGGTACGACGTCACGCGTAGGAAATCGAGGATGTTGATACGCAGATCATCGAGTTTGGGTGCGAGCGAAACGTTGAACTGAAGTAGAAACTCCAGGTCACGAATTCCCTTACGTCTGTTGCTCATCCTCCAGGGCTCACGTGGAGTAGACGCAGTGCAGCAGAAGACGCGTAGTTTGTCGAAGTGGTCGAAGTCTGTTTTCACGTCTGTACTCCGCATCTTGACTGAAATCATATTGGCTAGCCAGAAGCGGTAGTAGCACTCCGATCGCAGATGTTGCGATACCGATTCCAGCACTGGAGTTGCGCCTACTGTGGTCTTTTGGTCCAGATCGATAGTGACTGTACTTCGCCAGGGGTCAAGAAACCCTTTAGCAAGACAGAGCGATTCGAACAGCCGGATCTTGAGGTGCTGTGGTAGGTTCATCAATCCGGGGGTGTCTGCGGGTTGAAGTAACAGTGTTTTGCCGCCGTTCGTGATGGAGAACTTCCGCTCAACGTAGGTTCTCTCAACGCGGGGACGATTGTGTGATGGCTTATAGTAGTTGTAGTCGAACAGGATATACCCTTCTAGACCATCTCTTCGGATGAGGACATCGTGCACCAGAGGCCCACAGTTCTTCAGACCAAGATCGTCGCGTCGGAGAGCTATGAGCGCGTTTGTGATAGCACTAGTGTCGAAGACTGGATGTGTCTTGTTACCCCTGTTCTCCGGATGTGTCTTGCTGAACATGGGATTAAAATCATTGTTGTTCCGGTACTTGTAGTTTTTGCCTGCTCCCTTGGGGCAGACAATCTTCATCTTACGGATCGCATTAGGGGTTGCCCAGAGAGACTTCAGTAGATTGCCTAGTTTGACAGCCTCAGCCATATCAGTTGTATCCTTGCTGGAGTCAATTTTTAGGCGCCATTTGAGTTGGTCACCGCCATTGTCGGTGTTTTCAGCCAAGTTGACAATGACCTTGTGTACCATAGCCGCACTAGATCCGAGCATAGTCAACCAAGTTGCGAGGTCGTCTGCTTGTGTAACTCGGTACCCTGACTTATCATACGAAGCCCTTGAGATAACCCACGTGTTACTCGACAGGAATAAGGACGTGGCCTCGTGGTAGACTTGCCGGCACGTGAGAAGCAGCTTTAGCGCATGTGCGTGTTGGGTGTGTATCGGACGAGTATCGGCGGAAGCAAACCTCTGGTCTCGGACAAGCTGGTGTATCTCGATCTCGCCGTGGGCCGGAAGTAGATAGCCATAGATCTTGTTCCGGATCTCTCCAGGTAAAGAGAAGAGAGTTTTCGCACCAGACACAGCGGGAATGGCTGGAGTTTCCGGTATTGGTTCCGTTCGCGGGAGTGTTGCCATAGCTGTTGAGTTCGGGTGAGTTGAAGGGAATGAGAGTCGGCTTTACGGGTCACTATATACAACAAAGGAAGAAAGGTCAGCGTCTGTGCCCCAGTATCGTTCGTACTTCCTGACATAGATTCACCTTGCTTGCATGAAGTGAAGCCCTTTTCTCTTGACTGTGACTTGGGCCGGGGTAGCACCCGACTACATAGTGTTGGTGAAAGGGTATTGCCTGCCGCGCCGGTAATTGAATGTACTACGGTACGAGCAAGAGCTAATAGGCGTAAGTACTGGTAAGAGTGAATAGAAGTACGCACGGGATAGCCTGAATAGGCACCATGTACGATCCGTAGCCGTAATACGAGTGGAGAAGGGCACATACCAGCGTTGACAAAAAGTGAATGTTCTCTTGTCTCTCAACCTTCGCCACCGTCAACAGCCCTGAGAACTTTCACACTCGCACCAAGCTGCCAGAGATGACCTAAACCACCTCCCCTCCGCCTCCTCGACCCACCCAGCAACCGACTACCTGGCGTTTGTGAAAGTCTGCTTGCCTAGAGCCATCGCACTCGTTTTCCCCACAAACAGGCTGTGAACCAGTGAGCCCCACCTTCCAAATCACCCTTGCCGCGCTACTAGCTTGTACCCGCGCCATCCTAACCTACCTACGCACCCGGAATCTGGAAATCTACAGCAGTCAGCATACCCCCTCATTACTAACAAGACCCAAAACAACTCACAGGCATCAGACCAGTACTTCGGACTCACACCAAACCCACACCGCTGGAGCCAGCCGACATAAAAGCGTGCAGAGCCGTCGAAAGCCTCGACGGGCGGAGTTTCGCGCCAGCAGTTGAACTCTTTAAGTAGAAGACCATATTCTCTGAAGATGGAACGGCGATGTGTGGTCCAGGGTGTGTACTTTTGTATGTACGCTTGAGGATCCATCGTCGTGTCTGCGCTCTCGATTTCAACAACTTGGCCGAGACCATTGATCCAGATGTTGGGGCAGGGCCTGTGATTGGCATCTGGATGCTTGCGGACGAACTCTGTTAGAGCTATTAGGACGTACCAGCGTAGTTCCTCGAAGGATGTGGAGGTATTCGATGGGGCGACGTCCTGGCCGCGTGTCGCAGATATAGTAAGATTTCCTGTCTTGTTTCCTATAGTAGAAGTGATACGAAGAAAGTCGGTGATGTTGATACGGAGATTCTCTGGAGTAGTTGCCGCTTCTACTTCAAGCAAACAGTCGAAGTGTTGAAGTGTATGTATTTCCCTGCCGCGCCAAGGAAACTGTGCCGATCTGCCAATGCACCAAAATTTCTCCAGTTTGCGGAAGTTGTCAAAGTTGGTACGTTTGTCCTTGGAAGCCATTTTGACTATCCACTTGTTGGTTAGCTGGAGTTGACTGAAGCTCTCCCCTCTAAGTTCCCGACACACGGAAGCCAGAACCAGGTCCCCGTCCTCACATGTCCCCTTATCCAAGTCGAAGGTTATGGTCTTTCCGCGTTGTGTGACGTGCTTGATTATCTCGCTTCTGATATTTTCTGGCAGTTTCAGTATGTGATCCAATTTAGAGGCAGGAATGAGAGTTATTGCGTCACCGTTTTCGGAAACGCGGAAATACTGCTTATGAGTCGGGTCCATGAACGAGCGACCAAAGAAGATACCCCCTGTTCTGCCATCCCTATCAATAAGGATTTCGTGTACTGCATCGCCGTATTTGAGAAAGCCGAGAGGATCCTGGACTAGAAGTCGGAGTACGTTGTTCAGACGAAAGAGGTCGAGGCCGGAAGTAGCTAGAGGGGTTGCCATGCAACGTGCTGGATGGTTGAATGGAGTGCCAAACATAATCTCCACGTCGATAGCGTTGTTGGAAGGCTTGTGGAGTTCTCTCACCAAGTCTTTGAACCTAATGCTAGTGGCTATAGCGAGGTATGGGTCCTGGATATCACGAGAAATATGAAGGTCTTGACACGTAGGAGAACATGTTCCTACCATGTCGATTTCCAAACCCTTCAGCAATCCGGATTGAGAACCAAGTCCGCTCAAGAAGATTGCTGCGTCTTGTAAAAGTGTGACAAGCTGGGATCTAGATGTATAACGTTTTAATGCAACGGTCCAGCTGTTACTTTTCAGAAACGTGGTGACGGCTTCGTGATAGACCTGTCGACATGTTGAGAGTAATGGCTTCCCTGCGAGGAATTGTGCACGTGTGCTTTGTATACCTTCGATATGGCAACCGTCTTTTACGAAGGATACGTGATCCTCGTCCGTATTCTTTAGTCTTATACTCGTCGAAGATGCCAACTCTGCGGCGGGCGGCGGGTACCAACGCCTGAAATTACAGTCGTGCAGTTGATGCGCCTGACTGTCTACGGCACCTTTCGTGAAGAGGATTCCATATATCTGGTTTCGGATTTCGGCTGGTAGATCGAGGAAGGAAAGGATATCCGGGTTGGCTTTCGTGGAGTTGCCTTTTGCGATCGGCTTCGGCGTGTTGTTCAGCGCCATGTTGTTCGCTCGAGCAAAAGAGTTGAGTGCTGAAAGGTGCGGTAAGCTTTTGAGATCGAAAAGCCGGTTTATAAACAGGAGCGATGAACGGAGACCTTTGGAATGTCTGTGCACCAGGCAGATTCCGTAGTGGCGATGTGAGTTCAAAGTCGTAGCGTTCCTGCGTTGGCAAGGTACGGAACCACGGCCTCCAGGTCAGTGCACTGCACCTGCTTGGTCAATCAGGCTGCCGCATTTTCTTTCTCTCCTTGTGCATATCAATACCAGCCCCACCAGCTCCGGTCTTGCGCACTCCCCAACTCACGCTCAACCATCCAAGATGCCACCCCAATTCATCGATATCTCGCGTACGAAAGCCAGCAAAGCCCACAGCGGCGGCTCAATTCTCGAACTACCAGGCGAGATCCGCACTATGATATACGTCCATCTCTTTGAGCACCACGAAAGCATTCGGTTCGAGTATTCCGAGGACCAAGAAAAAGTGATGAGCGAGTATACCCACGACGAAGAGGACATACCAATTTCATGCGCACCAGTCAAGTCGGATGCGTTCACCAGTATCTGCGGCGGTATCAACTTGCTGCTCAGCTGTCGCCAGATCTACGACGAGGCCGCGAGTGTCTTGTACAGCAACAACACTTTCGTCTTTGGCAAGACACCGACCGACTGTGTACCAGATTATAAGCGCCTTCAGTCGGCTACAAAAGATCTCAGACAGATCCAGTCGGCCGCGAACTGGTGTCTAGGGTCCCAGATGCAGTATGTCCGACAGGTGAAAATTGATGTCGCCAATGGATGTTGTAAGGGCACCTGCCTCATGCATAACTTATGGCACCAGAGTACCAACATTACTCCACTCGTAAAGGCGATGTGGTCACCCTCAGCCGCGAAATGTCACTTCGAATTCGTTAGCTCGAACGCGTGGTCTGAAGATGGCCACAGCCAGTCACACTTTGACATCGAGGCCGCGAACACAACACTCGAATACCTTCGCGCAGATACCGTCGCCTTCGAAAGGTACTCCCGACAGGTTGTTGCGGTGATGACTGCGCCAGCAATGTTGACTCCGGAGGACAAGCCAAAGGGTTTTGCGTACATTGTGCTTGGACAAAGCGGTAGTCATCAGGACACGCGACAATACCTCCTGCTGCACCCTGGGAAGAAGACAGGCAAGCTTCGCGCCACAATGCGATCGCCAGCGCCACACCTGATGGGGTTGCCTTATAGTGTACGGGAGCGGATTGGTTCATACGTCCTGGATCACCAGGAGGCTGCGAACTTGATGTTGTTAATGGATCGCATGAGGGGTTTCTATCTGGGGATCTTTCCTATCAAGAGTTCCTTCGACACCAATATGTTATGGTGGTAGCGTGTGGTCGATAAGATAGCCTTTGCTGGACTATTACCTACACTCAGTAAATTTCATTGTTCCATTGTGGACGTTCATGGCGGAGAGTCGGAAGGAACGATGGGCGTTGTAATATCAAGCGATGTAATGGCGTCTCCTGTCACAAACGCGATGTAGGACATCTGTAGAGTGCAAGACGTCTCGATGTCAGTGTCTTTGAGTGACGAGTAGTGATGCGCTCGCGCAATGTTGTTGGAGCAGACGGTATCGGCGTGTGGCGTGGTGGAGGAGTGGAGGGACGCGTCGAACGCGTCGGTTAGCACACCCCGCCATGATCGGGGCGGCGAGTCCGAGCGATTGATGACATAGTGCGGACATCTGGAGCTAACCCCCACCCCAACTCTACTCCAACACTCCAACCAGACCTCCAACATCGCATTGTATATACTTCAGCTTCAAGTTTCTCCGGATTATTTCTCTTGAAGTCTCACCAATTCCTCACACAATCACGAACCATGGCGTCCCTCCTCAAAAAGTCGCTAAAGCTCGCGCTCATCCAACTCGCGTCAGGCGCCGATAAGACCGCGAACCTCACTTCAGCGCGCCAAAAGGTGCTCGATGCCTCAAAAGCCGGCGCAAAGCTCGTAGTCCTGCCCGAATGCTTCAATTCGCCCTACGGAACAAAGTACTTCGACAAGTACGCCGAGACGCTCCTTCCATCCCCGCCATCGGAATCGCAATCGCAGACCTTCCACGCATTGAGCAAATTGGCGAAAGAGGCGGGCGTATACCTTGTTGGAGGAAGCATACCAGAGAGGGACGATAAGGATACAAAGAAGCTGTACAACACAAGTTTGACATTTGCGCCTAGTGGAGAGCTACTTGCCACTCATCGCAAGGTGCACCTGTTCGACATCGATATCCCAGGGAAGATCAAGTTCAAGGAGAGCGAGGTGCTGTCGCCAGGCAATAAGATCACACTAGTCGACCTCCCCGAATACGGAAAGATTGCGATAGCCATCTGCTACGACATACGGTTCCCCGAACTTGCTATGATCGCGGCGAGGAAAGGCGCGTTCCTGCTATTATACCCTGGCGCATTCAATCTCACGACCGGCGCGTTACATTGGGAGTTGTTGGCGAGGGCTAGGGCGACGGACAATCAGGTCTACGTTGGACTGTGTAGTCCAGCAAGAGACATGGAAGCTGAATACAACGCGTGGGGACACAGCATGGTCGTTGACCCCAATGCGGTAGTGCTAGAGCAGCTTGATGAGAAGGAGGGTATACTCATTCGCGAATTGGAGGCGGGCAAGATCGAAGAGACCAGGAAGGGAGTACCACTGTATGGACAGAGGCGATTTGACGTATACCCTGACGTCAGCGAAGGTGGGCGATTCAAGGAGTAGATAGAGCAATGATACTAAATGTGACTGCAGAAGAAGAAAAGACTGTCTGAGATTTTACTATGGTACATCGTGCGAAGACATGTGCCGCCGTTAAAAAGTGAAATTTGACATGTTGCGTGGTGGTGGCAGGCAATGCCAGATGGCGCCTGAAACACGGGCAGAGATGGGGGAGTAGCACCAAAGCGAGGCCTTATCACGGGCGGCTTGGGGGGCACTTGCCAGGCGCACTCTGCCCAGCGGATGGGCGCCCTCGCTCTAATAGGCGGCCTACGCCACCCAAGTTGCACAACACACTGCAACAGAGATATGCACTGCGCGACAAAGACAAAATGCGCGCTGAAAGTAGACAATAGCTTCTGAAAGGCAGTAGACGCCTAAAAGAGACTGCGCATAACTTTCGCTTGCAGTTTGTCTGGATGCATCTTGAAAACGCGCCTTTTGTACAGGCTGCAGGCGCGAAAAGTAAGCCTAGATTTGAATTTTGGGGGCATTAATTTACTGGTCCCCCTCGAATGGGCTGGTGACTGCCCAAAAGTCAGGGCACGTTCGCTTGTGTTTGGGCTGTCACTTAAGGGAGCTATGCCCCCGACCCCCCGAAATTTCAGCGCTCCTCCGCCCTTCCCGCGCCCTCCCTCTTCAACCTCCCGCCCGTCAACGCGTCTTCACCCTCTGCCCATACCACGCCGCCCAACATGGTCCCCAAGAAGAAGACGCCCGCCACCGGCGAATTGCTGATCTCTGTTGCAGAATTCAATCGGACCAGAGACCACGTACGTACCCAATTCCCTTTTTGCACTCTGCAATCGCAATTGCGACACGCGCGCATAGCTCTGTTGTCGCGTCGGAACACCACGCGGTCAGCGCGCATTATCGCGCCACCATCACGTCGCCATATGGATACGTCTGTGTAACATGGATCGCGTAATCTACGCGACCCGATACATGGTGATTTTACAGTGCAAAAACTTACAATTACGCGCAGGTTCTGGGCTCTCTCCACAGCCTCCAGAATGGTCTCGTCAACGTACAGCACCAGATCACCGTCCTCATGGACCACTACAACAAGCACTGCGCATCAGTCCTTGGCATCGAAAAAGACGACGTCTCAACCGAGAACGATGCTATCACAAGTACCATCAAGACCGCCGCGAATGTTGTAGAGAGTGGCCAGAAGCTCATGGACAGCGTAGCTGGAGACGTCGGCGCGCCTGCTGAGAAAGCAATTGACGGCGTCAAGAGCAAGAAGCGCAAGCGCGAGAAGAAGGAAAAGGATCCCAATGCGCCCAAGAAGCCCCTCACTGCTGCTTTCCTCTACCACCAACACGCGCGCCCCATCGTCAAGGCGGATCTGGAGGCAGCGCTCGCTCCCGGTGGCACACTCGCTCCAGCCGCCGTCCAGACTGAGGTCAACAGGCGCTGGGCTGAGCTTTCCGACGCGGAGAAGGAGGTAAGCACACAATCACAAAACCCGACAATCGACGTCTCACTAACCCAATCGCAGGAATGGAAAGCATCCTACCGCAACTCCATGGAAGAGTGGAAAG